ATGCTGACTAACTGTACATGGAAGGTCCTATAATGGATCTCGTAGCCTGCTGTTTGCCGCGGTTCACGTGGACACAGAGTGACCACAACAGGGATGGACCGTCGTCCTTCCTGTAAACAACCCGCTCTGAGCACGCTAAAAACACACCTTCCCTTACCGCCTTACGGCCTTCCCACCCTTGCTACAGCTGAGTCCCCCCTCCCCGGTGGTAGTACAACCTCAAATATGGAGGAGATGTCTCTTCCATCGCGGCACACGACACCAGGGTGGCTCACACAAACTCTTGTCCGCGTCTCCCCACTCGCCGGCCCCGTAACCGCTCCCTGCTCCAAGTCAACTGCAGGGAGACAGCAACAGGAGGGGGATCAGAATAGGCTGGTGAGGAGGGGAGACGAAAAAATAGTGGAGGAGAGCGGAGCGGAGATTTTCAGTGTGTTCAGCACTGATATCGATCTGGCACACTTGTGAGGGAAGGAGTTCTGGAAGAGAGTTAAGTCAGGACAGCGGTGGAACAGTTAAGGAGCGGGGTGTCGCAGGGAACCCGGCAGAGAGGAGAGAGACAGGTTCAGAGTCAATCGAGTGTGCTCTAAGGTTTATTTTATTTTGATGTATTCTATATAGTTGCCTTTAGATCATTTCAGATTCCAGAATTCATATTTGACACTGCAAATTTTTTGTTTGTTGGTTGTATTTGATTTGTTATTTTGAGAGTTAGGTTGTCTATGGTTCTGGTGTTATCTAGTTGAGTTCTTGCTTTAGGCTCAGCTCAAATACAAATAGTATCCTTTGGGAGCTATTTGCTTTTGAAAGAGAACCAATTCCTTCATATCAATAGTTTTTTAATGTTTTTGTTTTTGTTTTTAATGTTATATATGGAGGGAATACCCTCAGTCTATGCCAGAGCACTGTTGGAGCCAGATGTGAGCAGATTGTGATGCAGCTGTGGCAAAGAACGTGAACACGCAGCAAATGCTAATGCAGTCATGTGTCGAAAGGCTGCCATCTGCGGAGAGGCTATAGATACAACTCTACTTGTGGGTCTTGTCAAAGTATCATTGCTAGTAGTCTCCAGCAGGAAATGTAATTATCTAAAGTAAGTTTTACAATATCATATTTCCCCACTTACTGATGAGCGGGACTCTCAGGCACTGCCGTCTGTCATAATTCTGGATTCAGTGTGCAAAAACACAGAGCAGTCCCCATTAATTAGAATACTCGCTGTATATTTACGTTTGTCAACTTCAAAATGTAGACTCCAATGTATCGTTTCCCTGAGTCTTACAGTCCGCTTTACAGTCAAGTACAACTATAATTAATATGAGCAATGTTGAATACATTCAACAGCGCAAATACCATAAATATATTCGACAGTGTTGAGGTTTGGCTGTTGTAATGAGTTTAAAGTGTCTAGTGCTTCTCTGACACTCATGCACGCCAGGTAATCGATGCACGGATGGACAACGGTGTTTGACCTGAAGGTGTTCCAGTAGCCGGCCCGATCCGCCTCTGTCAGGGATCATGCTGCACAACCTGACACCGAAGCAACAGAGCAGATCCAAATCTTAAACATGCCTTCTTGCATTTATATATTTTTTTTAAAGCAATGTGGTGGACAGATGCGTATTTAGTTAACCCCTGGCACAGGGGGGCAAAGCATTTTGAATTCTCCTCCACCACAACAGTATATCATACAACCATGGCAAAATCAACCTTAAAAATATTCTTCCTCACCTCTATCTCCCATAGGGCTTTACTCGCTTGTTGCTGAGGTAGCTGACTGTCGCCCAGATAGTGCGGAGAAAAACATTGTTTTTTTTCTGTGTCCATCACAGTGAGGAATTCTCCTGCCTCGCATGAAGTAACGCACCACATCGCCTGGGAGGAGGAGAACGATGTGCTTACTGTCAACTTTATCTCTAACTTTAAAACGCAAATCATTAAAGAAAAAAAAGATTAATGTTGTGGTTTCCATATAAAATTTGACAAGATAGCACATTCTTATGTAAGAACAATCGCACAATCACATCTCTCATTTAAATCTCACTACTTCAGAATATCTTAACATGATGTCATAACACAATGTGTGTTTTATATTTTAGGTGCATGTATTTCAAAAAAAACATGGTTAAGTTGGAAATATGTATCTTGTAAAGTGCTGTTAGAGTAAACCTCTCAGCACTCTATAGAAAACATTATTATATTGTATTCAGAATTCTAAAATAATAGATCACTCTATATTTTAGAGAAGGCATTGTTATACACAGGGGGTCTGCAACCCGCCGGCTGCTTACCTGAGCCTTGGACAAAGATAGATAGAAGAAAATAAAATGAAATAATTTGTAGGCAATGAATCTAATTTTTGTTGCTGGGTTGAAAATGTTCTGTACTCTTGTATTGGTTGAGGTGATACCGTGGTCGACACCAATACCAAGAAAAAATCTAAAAATTGAGGTGGGGATGAGGGGTCCTGATACGGATCACCGCGCAACGCGCCCTTGTTCTTGCAGGTGAAATAACCTGAACCACGGCCGGACTCGCTGACTCAAGAAAAATAAAAAGTATCCGGAGGAACTACAGAGAGATTTATCTGCGTGGACAAGAGTTAGATATAGCTGTTCACAGCAACACGGATCGCTGGTTTACAGGTAATGTTTGATACATGTAGAGAGAAGTGTGTCAAAGGTGCCTGGCAAGCTTTTACGTATCGACGGAACACACGGAAAAGGAAGAACAGCTGACGATCTTGCAGTCATAATTCAGGACATAAGTTCACTCAGATATAAACTCTTATCTAAGGGTGGCAGCTATATGTTATTATTTATTTCAAAAGTAGTGGTTGTCCATTTACTGTTTTTCTTCTTCAAATGTGCAGAGGACGTCCCCAAGTGCTGTGTTTAATATATTTAAAGTAGGCCTGTGTCATTTTTTTTAAATCTCCTTATAAGAAGTTCTTTGTTTATTATTAGAGGTAAAGACAGTTTTCTATAATGTAATAATATATAAACTGCAAAAGCTGTCAGTTTGTCTATGATGTAACAAATATATGACCTTTATAAGCTATCAAGCTATCAACCGCATATGTTTGCGGCTGCAGACAAAACCATTGGTGGAAGAAGGGGACAATGCTCTTTGGTCAAAAGGTTGCAGACCCCTGGTTAGCCTACTGTAGTCGGGCTATTTTTGGCGTTAAAGCCGTTTAATGGAAAGCTGTTTGAATAAGAATCACAACATAATCTCATGTATAAGAACACACACGATAATACTTAACTGAACTGAACAAAGCAGGGCACTGGCCCACTTCATGAGGGCGACTTACAGCAACCCGCCTTGTAAGAAAAAGGCAGAATGTAGGCAAGTTTCCTATCCCCTGTGTGCCTTGGCAGACTCGCAGTTTGTAAAAACATATGAGATCAGTATTTCTGGCAGCTACTGTGAAACAAACCCCTTTTAGGATGACTTCCTGATTGTCGCCCCATTTCATAAACAAGACGATCTTCCAGCTGGTGTTACAGTTGACAGAGTTCACCTGCAAAAAAACAATCAGAGTTTGAATGAATGAAGGTATGATCTTGTGGCAGATGTCCTGAACAGTAGAGCAGTGCTAAAACACTGTCAAGGAGGAAACCTTCAACTTTCTCTTCAAATGCATACTTTTTCTAAATAAATCAAATTAAATATATTCCACATCAAGCAACAGCCAAGGCAGCATACACAGTCATTTATAACTTCAAGGCTTGTCTATTGTACTTGTAAAGAGTCAAATCCGACCTTGAAAAAAGTTGAACTTCCTTTCTTTGTTAAGAGTAACCACTTGATATCATAAACATTAATGATTTGTGCTTACATTACTCCCATTTCACATCTACTTAAACTGCTTGCGGAGTCTTGAATAAGGAATAAATAAGTCGGTATCAATCATGGTTATGAGCAAAAATTGCACAACTGCCCCAAACCGAATTCGCTTTTTGTGTTTCTAAAAAGGAACTTTGATAAAATGTGTTTTAAAGTAGCTCAGAGCAGTCTACAGTTATGAGAGAGAAACAGGACGTCTCTCAAGATGCAGAGTTAGCTGTAGCCCAGTTCGTAACTGTGCTAAATGCGAAGGGCAGGGAAACAGTGCTTTAGTATTTCACATCAAACAGCTAATAACCAAGCAGCGGTTATGAGAAAAAAAGCTATAATTAGATCACGGCGCTCCCACATGAAAGCATTTGAGGAGTGTAGAAGAGTTGCAGCATCTCAGAACAAACCTCATTGCATCCCGGATTATCCACGAGCTGGTGTGTGCTGGCATGGAGAGGCTGACCTGCGTTCACTGGGTTCAGGACCACTTTGTCCCCGATCACCACCTGCAAACACACACACACACACATGTTTTGGGAAGCTATAAATATCATGATGCTGGACGAAAACACCATGCAATAATGTACATACTCAACTCATCGGGCTCCAAAGGTAACAGGGACTTGCACTGTATTTTTATTTAATCTCATTGAGTTTTAATTACATTTATTTAACTGCATTTACTGTCTACTCTGAAAGCACAATGAGTAGAAAGTCAACTACAGTAATGCAGTCAACCTTGAACCTCTGAAGAGTGAGCGAGCATCAATATCCATTTGCATGTCTCTGTCTTCTGTCTATTCTAAGCAGGTATCCACAGTGACTCCAACTTTTGTTTTTGTCCACGGCCTCCTGCTTAGGCCTTGTGCCATACCTAATTTAAGAGGAGTTTAGTAGAGAAGCCCGACCTCTTCCGTGGTTCATTTTGTCCTCTGCCAACAAGAGCTTTGTGATCAGGAAAACCCTGATCGGGTGCTGGCAGAGCTCCATGTGAGGTCTCACATTGAAGCTTAAGTAAAGAAGACTTTACTTAGGATTTTCATGACAGAGAGGTTGCACACATTTAAAAAAAGTACATATATTTAAAGACCGAAAATAGCTATCAATCTCAGCCATGAATCAGAGTCCTTTGCTTGGCCTGATATAATTGACATACAAAACAGTTTCTCCACAATGCACCACTCCGATAGCATTTAGATGTGATGACTCACACTGTCCCCGATGGAGCGCAGTTTGTAGAAAGGCTGGATGTAGAACCAGGAGCCTTCGTTTCCAGCGGTGTCCAGCATCACTCTCATGGCGTTCTTCTCTAACAGCGCAGGCAGACGCTTGTTCACCGTCAGGTACTTGTTGCTCTTCAGGTGTAGTAGCTGAGCAGATAATACAAGATACAGTGTGTGATAAAACAAACAAATGTTCAAATATAAGATAAGAAGTAAGTGATTCTGATGGTGAGATCATAAGCTTGTATTTAAAAAGGCACTCTTAGAAATGGACTGACATTGTTCGTTTTCATTAACTAAAGTCAAACAACATGTAAGAAATAACACCGACTTCCTGCAGAACTACACTGAAAGCCATCACTTAATAAACTATGAATGTCATCTATATTACATTACATTATATGTCACACAAGCGACTTTCATACATTCAATACTGTGGGCAGGACACTTCACCCCAAACGAGCAATTTGGGGTGAAGTGTCCTGCCCAGAGACACAGTGACACGCTGACTGCAGATCAACGCACAATCCCACTGAGCCACAGCCTCCCTACATACGGTATGTTGTGGTTGGGTGTATCAAATTAATCTGTGGTTTGACTGTGATTCCAGGAGGTTTGGGCCTTGTTTATTTTTGGGAGAATACATTTGGGAGTTATGCCAACATTCCCAAAATAATAATACTAGAATATGTGTTTGAATGGTTTTCCTTTTTTTATTTTCAAGTTAACATTTGTGACCATGCTTAACATGTTGAGGCATATCTCAAATTCAAGATAAGAGTTATGATAAAAATCACCTCAAATGATGGCATGTCCGACCCACCTCAAACTGTGTGGAAGTCTAAACAAAGTGTATCTGACTAAATGCCAACAACATGAGGACTGTTCCAGTGAAACCAACCTGAATGACATTCCCGTACTGAATTACTGTTCCAAGCAGCTTTTTGTTTTCAGAATCATTTTGCTTTTTCTCCAGGTCAGCTGCATGCTGGAAGGAAAGAATGGGATAAAAAGAGGAGAATCAGATCAAGACCAGCAGCATTGTTCACATAAACCAGTTTCACTGTAATGTAGTAGCAAGTAATCTGATCTGTGGGCTGTTAAACAAAGCAGAAGTAAGCCAAAAACGTATGCTTCAACAGACGGCTTTAACAGAAAGTTCTGGCTCGATGGAAACACAGGAGGGATTGCAATCCTCCATTTTATGACTGCTTGGTCCGGTAACAGATTGCTTTAAATGGTATTGAAATGCAACAGAAAGAGAGAACAGAGAGTGTAGAGGGCAGAAGGAGTGAAATGCTTCATAGATATCTATAAAAGGAGTCTAATAGCAGGTTACAAAGTTATCATGTTTATTAACTGAGGTACAAATGTAAACTATATTGCAGAGTAAACATTTGTGCAGATCATTTAGTTTCAACCTAACGTACTCTACTTCTTCATATGTGTGTGGTCTCTTGACCCCGTTAGCCCCGAGGACAGGTCTTTGTGGCTTACTGTCTGCAGAGAGGTGAACATGTCGTCACTTCACTTACATGGAGCTTGTTGAGGAGCACCGTGTCCGTATTTCCTCCAGGCTTCGCCGCTTTCCAGAACTGCTTCTGGGCCGAGTAGCGGTTCATGGGACACAGTCTGAACAGACAGTCTGGAGACAGAGAGACAAAATAAATACAGACATGAAGCTGCATGGATAGAGATAGAGATCACTCCTAGAGTAAAAAAGTGGTGCATACACGAAGAAGAACCAAGATTCAAGAAAAATAAAAAGATAGACAGAAACAGAGACCTTGACAATATCTTAGGGAAGATGTTCATAGTTGAGATGGGGTGTGTTTAAATCAAAAGAAGAGAAAAACAGAAATAAGAATAGTGTATGTTGTTGCACGGTGACAAGCGGCCGAGATGGGTTTTCTCCGCAGGGTGGCTGGTGTCTCCCTTAGGGATAAGGTGAGAAGTTCGGTCATCCGGGAGGGACTCGGAGTTGAACCGCTCCTCCTTCGCGTCGAAAGGAGCCAGTTGAGGTGGTTCGGGCACCTAGTTAGGATGCCACCTGGGCGCCTCCCTAGGGAGGTGTTCCAGGCACGTCCAGCTGGGAAGAGACCAAGGGGTAGACCTAGGACCAGATGGAGGGATTATATCTCTTCGCTGGCCTGGGAGCGCCTTGGGATCCCCCAGTCAGAGCTGGTTGATGTGGCCAGGGAAAAGAAAGTTTGGGGCTCTCTGCTGGAACTGCTACCTCCGCGACCCGACCACGGATAAGCGGGAGAAGATGGATGGATGGATGGTTGCACGGTGAATGAGTGCCACAGCGTGGGATCACAGCAATAGCTTAGTTGCTATAACAAGATGATACAAGATTTGTAGAATAAACAGAGAATCTACAAAAAAGAAAGAAAACAGACCACAGGCTTGACTTTATAAAAGGACCCCTCTCTGACATGTCAAGTGATGTATTCAAAAACCTAATAACGAAACAATATAAACACACATTATTTCTACACGCTGCTCACTAACACATCCATGCATGGTTTGTGCGCGCGTGCACTTTTATCAAATATTAATTTCTTAATCGGGGAGGAATAATGAGTAACACAAGCATGTGTTTGTGTGTTTGTATGTACATTATTGTATTTGTGTGCTCATGATATACAAGTACAGTATTATGTGGTTTAACTGTTTTAAATGAGGCAACACAGTTACCTCAGAGTGTGTGTGTCTGTGTATTTTTTATTTGTGTTCAGTCAATGTTTGTGACCACAGGGACCGTGAGATGTTGCTGTCATCAGCAGGACTCTGATTGTGCTGCTTATTTTCATACATGTAGATACCATAGAACAAGCCTGGAGGGATAAGGGCCCACTATTTGCATGTGGACACAGTTTTAGCATAAGAGAGTTCCTCTTCTGAAAATAGTTCCTCTTCGCCATTTCCCACTGCAGCTGAAGCACACAAAGACTAAACAGGCAGAGTTTAGTTTAGCTTTCGGTTCACTACAGTGACATTTTGCCTGCAGAGTTAAACTTTTGCCCATCAGCGACTCCTCCCTCTGAGTCCTGGCTTTCCTCTGACTTCTCCACTCATCAGACCAAAGCTCTTTATTGTGAGAGGTTAAAAAAGAGCAGAAAAAAGAACAATCTGTCCATCCTTCTCCCTTTCTCTCTCTCTCTCTTTCTCTCTCTCCTCCTGCTGTAGCCGCAGTAACATGACCAAATAAGGCCAGCCCAGAGAAGGGGAGTGGGATGACAGAGGCCGAGAGAAGAGGGTGGGGACTCCCTATCTTCCACACTCGATATTTAGTCATCCCTCCTTCTCCTTTTTGAATTCCTCTATCCATTTCACAAACCACTCTCCCCCTCCCACTTAATGGTCTCTATCTTGCAAATCTTCATCTCACCCCCTTACAGCCCCCTCATAAGACGAGGTTTACTTTAGTATGACATAAAATAGGGCTAGGTCAACAAGGAAAAGGAAGTGAAAGAAAAATGATGAAGACAGGAAGAGAGTGAAAGAATGTGAAACGGAGAGAGGGCTTAAGGGGAGAAGGAACTGACTGAATACATTTGTGTTCATGTGCATCCCACATACAGTATGTTCACACAAATAAATGAAACTCAAGTAAATCATCACCAGAACTGTATTAAACTAAGTGAAACAGCAAATAAAAATCAACACACACTGGAAAGTTCTGCCTTTCGAGTGAGACTCCCTGTGATTTGACAGAGATGTTTTTATCATACTCTAAACACACAATCACAGCTGCCATATGAGTGCAGAGGGAGACGGAGAGTTTGCCTTTAATCACAGTCAGCTGCGAGAAAAACATGTCCGTTTCATAAAACTGAAATTTGGGTTAAGAATTCCTTCTGGGGTCACTGGACAGGAGCAGTGGTGGGTCTAGTCCACAGGGCAGAAAACTCTAATGATTCATTCACATTCCTCCAACTTGAGACACTAATTTAGGACTCAAACCTCCAGCCCATAACCACTGTGTTATTTGTCACTCAAATATCTATTTGAGTTCATAAACAAAGCTTTCTTTGATACCAGCTGCCCGCATGCTCTGACAAAGGCTAACCTAAGTTAATGTAGCCTTGAGGTATGCATGCTGAAAACATTTCCAGTGGTGTTTTTGACTGTTTTGAAGCCAAACCAAGTCATACCTTCTTTAGGATTAACAGGAAGCATGATCTATTGTGAAATAAATCATTATGGAGATAAAAGGATAGGAGGATATTTGCCATATTGCCTAGGCTTGCAGTACTTGAGTCAAAGTTTAAAGTCTGCAAATACAGCTCCAAATGTTCCAATATTCAGGACCTTGTGCTCTGCTCACATACATGCATTCAAAGATGCATGTATGTGAGATGCACAATCAAGCATTTGCATGACTAGGTAGGACTTTGATCCATTACTGGTCAGTATGTGAAATTAATGATGTCCGAAAGAGTTTCATACTGAAGCGTGTTAAAAATATGTCATGCGTTAATAATTACCCTTATTTTAAAAAAAAAACTGTCAACAACACCGCTCCTCCCTCTTTGTTGGGATTATTTAAGGAAAATATAAAACAGATTTATTTCATTTTGTTTCTGTATTTCATTCTTAGTGTATATATTTTCAGAGCACATTCAGAATGGACTTTCCAGAAGTAAACCTGAGATGAAAAATATTTGAATATATATTCCCAAAACATGTTTTAACTGAGTAAAAAAAAGTAAAAAACCTGACATCAATGCAGGAATAACTAAGTTTGTAGATCTTTTCAAGTGATGTCTCTGTGGTATCTTGCGACACTGCTGTGAATGTTATTTAACAAGGGCTGCAGATGACCCACAAAGATCCCTTACACATGCTCTGTAGACGTGCTAAATTCAACAAAAAGCTAATAAAAACTCCTGCGCTCTCTGCCAAACTTCACCAGATTTAAGAGGATCAAGGGGAAGATGCTTGTAGCCGTGGCGACCGTAAAAACTACTGAGAGAAGATGTTAAGTCAACAGAGATGATTCACCTCTAGAACAGCTGATCAAACATAAGAACTGCCACAATAATGTGATACTGTAAGAAGATTAACACACACAACAGCTTTCAATTGTGTGTGTGTTAACTGCTACTGTGTCAACACATGGCTGCACAATTCACAATGGTAGACAAAATAATAAGGTCATGGTTTCAGGACAAAATGTAATTACATCTACATTGTCTGGCACCCTCATACTGCAGGATGTATGCTCTGATGATGAAAGGTTGACAATGAAGCAAACAAAGCATGGTGCAGATGTATCTTTTATCAGTTCTACCTGTCATAAAAGCATATTGCACATCCTCTCAGACAGAAATCCCAACATGTCCACAATAAGAGTGAAGAAGTCAGAAGCAGGGAGGCCTTCATGAACCTCTATGATATCTGAGCTAATCTGCAGTTGTCGACCAACACCACTGGACAGAGACTTAGAAAAACCCATTGCATAATACTACTTCTAAACAGTGATAAATCAACAATATCCTCAATGATCTGGCTTTTGTAAACTGTTATTTGCTACAAAGTTCTTATCCTGTTGGAGATATTATGGAGGAAGCAACTAATCACTTGTAGTGCATCTAAGACAATAAATTGGTCCACCGACTACAGCTTCCCTGTATCCTGCAAGACTTATCTGCTCTCAGGAAAGCAATATATGTGGTTATTAGCAGAGGAAGGGACTAAAGACAGAGCTGCTGCTGGTGTTTGTCTCAAATGAACCAGTCTGCAGTGTGGCACTGACAGCAACAGTGGTTTGGGCTGACAACAGAGAGGTGGGGTCAAGAGGTTAATGCTACAAAGATTGCGGTGGTTTATGAGGGTCGAATGTTTCTGTGTTTCTGCAACAGCCATTTGAGTAGATTAAGGCAGGGGGGTGAGACATGGAGTGGGTTAACAAAGAAGGAGAAAATAAGCAACACAAGACACATGAAAAGCCAGGACAAAGGAGATGCTGTCCACTAGAATGGTGTTCACATGTTACTTGTTCAGCAATGAGTTTCAGTTCAAAAACAAATATGTAGAAAAGCAGCTCTTTCTGGATAACAGGATATGTTTTGATGTCCTTTTTTTGATTCGTTTTTTTGATTTATGAGCTTTAATCAACATTTTCGTATTGTCAAATATTTTGTAAATGAATACAACCTCATTGTTTCCCCCTTGCCTATAAAATAAATCAGTCAATAAACAACATTATGAATACTACTAGGTTGCATAAACTGAAATATGTATTATGGGATTATGTGCTGACTGCTGCTCAGTGTACTCTGCAATCTCAATGTGTGCAATCTCAGTGTGTAATGGCATTTCAAAAACTGTCTGCTTGAAATACAAAGCAAGGCTCATAATGCCCTGGCGTATGCACACAGACTACAGGAGTGAAAGTGTGATTTTGTGGAGGGTGCTTGTGTTTACATTAGGAGGAAATGTTATGCATACCTCAGCAATGACAGTATAAGGCCCTGCATGTGGACATGGCTAGTCTGGCCTTGCGCCTTTATAGCGTCCACTATACTGTGTAACTGTGTCCCTCTCCAACAGCTTAGGGGCCTCCCAAATGAGGAGGAAAAGGAGAGTGTTTTCTCTGCCAGAGGACACCCGGAGGAACCAATTTAGAAGTTCCCAAAGAAGTTTGGAGAGCAAAATACAGATTTGTAAGAACACTTAGCCAGACTGTGTTTGTGGATGTTTAAACAGGAAAAAACCTGTTTCTTGTTTGGGTGTACTAACTTTTCAAACTTCTCAAGGGTCATATATGGGAAGTTGAAGTCAGTAAGGCAAATACTTCCTCAAAAGTCACATAAATGAGGTTCTCAAAAAAACACTGCTTTTATGGTTTATTACTAAACCACTTGCAATATTGTACTACACTACTGCTGAAAAGTTCAGAAAATAGAATTAAGTGCATCACCTCACACGACCTCACCACAACCCTTCCCTTTGTTGTAAAACCACATTGCAAGTATGTAAAAATGAAACACACAAAAGCCAGCAACTGTACAAAAATAAGGTTTGATTTTGCATTGTGCTGTTGAAATCTATAAAGTGCGGCCCTGTTCACAGCTATACACATACAAAAGATAGATTTTGTAGTTTATTTGTGAAGCTTAATTGGCGGCACTGATACGTGTTCAATGGTGAACATATCAGCTGTTTTCAGAGTCGACATTTTGACAGTTCACAGCAGTAAAAACACAGGTTGCTAATGACATTAACGATGGCTCTGTTCTATTCAAGTGTCATGTAGGCCATGAGAGTCAGATGGTGAGTCAGCATGCACTAAACCACGCCCCCTGAAACTGAAGAAGCCTGATCAAATTTCAACATAATACATTTGTGAATTTACACCTGGGTTTTACACAAAGGGACATCTCAAAATATCTTCTGGGAGATTAAATCTACTGTATGATGAAATAATAAAGTACTTTGGTTTGTTGAATAAAAACTGCAACAATATAATTTAGAGATTTAAATGTATGCAATTAGTATGGAATCAGAAAATTGGAACTTGTGCCAAAAAGGCAATTATCAAAAAAGCATTGCCATTTTAAAAAAGGGGAGCTCTAGCAACTTATTTGGAGCTGCACTTTCATGAAGTTGGGGGACGAAAGGGAGACAGATGGATGGAAAACAAAAATAAAACACTGGCGCTCTTAAGATAAGATATTGTGACTTTTTGTTACTATAGAACTGTCATTTACTAAAATATGCCGTAATGCAAACAAAATCATATTTTCATTCTATCCTCCCGCCGGCCTGTTGAAGTAGTACTTCCCATGCGGAGTAAACTGAAATGTGTGAATAAAATCAAGGAACTGCCCTTTAATGTTAAGTTATTATCTGGCAAAATGAAAATATTTATTACCAAACAAACTATTTATGGCTTCACTGCAACCACCTCAATGTGTCCATATGCTACTATAGAACTTATCCTCACCTATACTGGTAGACATCCAGAAGCCTCTCACAATGACATGAAGGCTTCTTCTGGTCAACACCAGCTGGCGTGGCAAATTAATTGCCAATGCCACTTTAACAGCACTCATAGCTTATGTTCAAGTGTGTTGTCAAGACACATAAACAATTAAAAGGCAACTCTCTAATGTACAACTTTAACTACATTTGTTTTGCTGCACAGATATTGAAGAAGTTTAATAAAATAAAAAGGAAGCACAACTTTAAACACATATCTAAAATATCCAGCAATCATTTTAAATTTGGCAAACATGTTGTGTACTGCAGTTGGTCACATTTAGACCAAGACTTGTCCTTTGGGTGCACTGTGACTTGTGAGGAGCTTTACTGGTGACTTGAGGGAAACCTAGTGTGGGTGTGAAGAAGATTAAATGAGGCAACGTGATTACTAAAGCCTTCCTGTATGTAGTGAGCCAATAGGAAGCTCCCTATTAACATGTTGTGCTGTCACACAAAATAAACTAATCAACTGTAAAGACTAGGATAGTGCATGATTTAAACAGTTATAATGGTGTCCAAGTCAAGGCAAAGAACTAGGGGACCCACGATAATATTACCACACTTAAGTCACTTTGGTATCTTATTGCAAATGAAATGTGCTGAGTACTGCAATTTAATACTCAAAACTATTTAAGATATCAAATATTCAGCCTACACTTTTACATTTCTATACAAGTTAATCTAGATTGTATGGTTTTAGAGCCTTTATAAAGTCTGAGAAAACACAATGAACGTTACCTCAAACTGTACATTGTTATGCTTGGATGACTGGGAACATGGTTTAGAAGAACATCTACAGATATAAGACCGGTATAGACACTGCTGGCTTGCTTTTCTGACCTGGATTCCCATCTTTGTGTCCAGATCTGAAACACAGCGGCATACACAGAGAGAGAAAGACTCATCCTTCATGTCGCTGCAGGAGGTGGAGGCATCAGTCTGCAGCCTGTGTTTATCGTGTTGACAGTAATTGTCTCTAGGGGGAGATAACCTGTCCCGGGACACCAAAGGGCCACTGAAGAACCGAGCTGAGTGGACACTGCTCGGATCAAAGCTTTCTACTATCTAAATATGGTGCAATCTTCTTTATACTCTGGAGACAACAGAAGGCATCCTAAATGCAAAGTGTGGGCATGTGTGTGGTATGCTCACTCTCCAACAAGCTTCAAAGTCAAACTGATAAAACACATGGCCTACGGATTTGATGAAAAACTACATTTGGTTTGACATACTTTCTAAACTTATCAGACTTCATTCACCCACAGACCTCATTCACCGGCCAACAATCCTCTGATGTTGCTTCTTTTTTTTTCAATCAAATATTCATTCAGCAGTGACCAGAAAAAGTTCTGTTTTTGAACCTCTTAGATAAATTAAACTTGCCTTTAATACACTCTTATTCTCTGTATAAAGTCGGGCCAGGCCTCTCCCCAGAGATATAAACCTCCAGCCTGAGAACCGAGGGTCATGAGTTACACTTCCTGTATGGGAGCTAAAAATAGCGGGTTCCCCAATGAAGACATCTTAAGTGTTTTCTTCTTAAAGCAGCCTTTCAAGCATGATGTTTTCCAACAAATTAACATCAGAGCTGATTCTCTTGATCCGCCTCTATACCTCTGCAATCAATGGATGCAAGCGAACACACAGCTATAAACACATGCATGGATGCTTGTGCACGCGCACATGCACAAACACCATTAACAGCCCCGTTTGAAGTCCAGTGGACAGAGATATTGTGGCTGTCACCAAAGAAACACAGCATAACAGATTCAGCAGCGTCTCTCTCACAGAGCCACAGTATAAACAGTCAGCAGTTAGTGTGATGATGTCAGGCCTCAGGGGGAGGAGAGGAGGGGACTCTGAGTCTCTTACCTCTGAACTTCTTCGGAGGGTTGTTGAGGTCCCCCGCGTCAGGCTGGACGACACAGCGATCATCCACCAAACTAAGGATATAAACACGGATAACGTTGGTTATCACATGCAGGAAACACAAGCACAGACACACTCAAAGAAAATGGTAAACCGCGTTCTGTATTTCTTAGCTGTAAATTTTGTTTAGCATATTGTAAATAAAAAAGGTAAAATATGTTTCTAATGTCTTATCTTTGAATGAAACCAATCACTGATGGCCCACTAAGCTGCTTTTCATAGTAAAATGTGTTTTTTCATTCTTTACGTAAACACTTGAACTACAACCACTTTTGATAACCTAGAATCCTCTCAAATGTGAATATGTGGTGGTGTTATTAGTTTTCTATAATAGTAAATTGAATAGCTATGGATTTTGGACTGAAGAAAAATACATTTAAGGTTTTAGTAAGCATGATTGAAAAAATTATTAAAACTAATTATAGAGATGTATTAAGATTGTGTTTGTTGTTTGAAAACAGATCATGAAGGTTTCAATTTAAACTGATTTGGGTGATTGTTAAACATGGGAGTGGCCAATACACAAAAGTTCTCCAAAAAAAGCTTTTGTATGTAAAAAAACTGGTGCTGCTTTTTTCATTGAAAGCTCTAGCTGCAGCATGTTAATACCCTATGCCTCCAAACAATAATGAAATCATTTGGGATTAGATGACCCTTGGGCAGGCTAGAATTTCTAGAGACAAATTGAACTTTTACTGGCTTAGAATAACACTCGTCTGGACATGGGCCAAATCCATCCCACATCCATTTCAGGCCTTTTCCCGGGGAATGTCTGCAGTTGTCCAAACAGACCTGTCTACTGCTCCAGTCTGTACACCTCAAGGAACAAGGCTGCAGACTTAAATAAAGAGTGAGAAAGTATAAGGGCATGTTAAGAAGAAACATACAGCGTGTGCGATCATCCGATGTGTGGATGATGCACATAACTAATCCAGTTAGGAACAAACACTCATTTACACCTTAAGAGGGTTCACTGAACAACAGCATATTTAACATTTTGTATCTTTAATTAGCTCTCTTACAGACCCAGTAACCAAATAGGAGCTGGAAATGCTGCTCCGCTAAAGAAGCTGAAATATTCAAAGAGCTTTCTCTATTCGGAAAATTATTTCCTCCTCTAAGGGCAGAAGATCTGGAGAATGCTGCTGAGTTGGTGGTTGTGCGTGGAATAGATGGCCCCGGGTCAAATCTGTCATGACAGTTTTGTAAATATGTTCGCTGGTACAGTATGTGTGTGAGAGAGTGTGTGTGTGTGTGTACGTGGGAAGCGCTTAAACTCGAGAAAGGCCACAGTTTCTCTGTAGTGACTTAGTCTTTGCTGTAGGTCATTACATTTTTCATGAGCAGGGGTGGTCCTGGTCGCTCAGCTGACTCCCTGATAGTTTTACAGATGCAGGACACATGAGACGGCACCTACCATTTGAACTCAAAAGTGCTTTTGTTGCTTGGGGGGGAAATCATTTAATGAAAGAATCGAGATTCTTAATCGATTCACTACCCTCTACAAAATGTCGTTTTGTAAAGGGGCTACTGATGGATACCACTGCCCAAGTCGAAGTAGGGTCAAGCACTATCGTTTGATTTGTTGAATAATTACATGAATAACAAAACATTTGTTTTTTTAATTGGATAGTTCCTTTCGAATCAAAAAGGTAGCTAGTCGAAGCCTTTGCATTTTATTCATGTAACAGGCAATACTTTTTGCATAACCTGTAACACTTGAAGTCACTTTAAATGGAGCAATACTAAAAAGGTTTTAGTAAAAAGTGTTTATTTGTGCAAGTTTAGTATGAATAAATGTTTTGTCTTGGGTTGGCCTTTGTGTGTTTCGACAGTTGAACAATCTTTTTAAATGACAAAAGCTCCCTGAACAATTACACACTGTAATTCTGCTTTCATGCAACAATTTGCCACACTGACTTTATAAACACAAAGCAGACTAAAGTAGATCAGCATTCTTATTGAGTGGAGATTTGATTTTAAATCGGGAATAGAACCATGATCCCACAAATTGAATTGAATAGTGAAATGTACCCCTCCTTACTGCTTTATATTTGATTCCAAATAATTATGTGTTAAAACGAATTCATGAAACCAACAAAACAATGATGCGACTGTGTGGGTAAATGAGTGGTTTGTGTAACAGGTTTACCATTTGTGTTCAGTTTTGTGCAAAGCACCACCTGAGTGTTTACCTTCAAACTCTGCCCTCCACACCTACAGTACTCCTACCACATACACACACACACACACATACCCTTCATCTTAGCTGTGCATTCTCCACCCCTACATTTCCTTTTCTCCCATCACTATCAGTGGCGGGGTCAGCCATGGCCATAGCAGCACTTCAAAAGGCCTCCCACTGCATTCATAGCTTTGTCTGTGAGATAAACTGCAAACTTTCATCCAGACCACTTAATCACATAATGGCCCTGATGGTGGGCAGCAATGTCTTTGATGCCTGATGGCACCACAATGTGGCTCTCAAAAATATCAGACATTCTCAAAAGCGGTTAACACTTGCCACTAGTGTGACTTCCCTTCTTGGACATACTGCTCAGCTTGCAGTAGAGGAGAGAAAAGTGTGAAGTGGGCCCACACATAATGGTCGGCCAGCAAAATGGACATACCCCAGTGTGCTGATGAAGCCATTGGTGGACCCCTCTGCATACAGGGAGCAGATGTCCCCAATGTGTAGGAAGCTCGACATCTTATCCGACATGTTTGACACACACAGAGAACACCTACAGCAAGAGAAAGGAGTGAAGATTAGTATATGATATTCTCAATATGAGACATGTTATCACAAAAGTCTAAAAAGCAGAAAAAGCTTCCTTATTTGTAATTCTTTCCTGATAGTATCTGTAAGAGTGTGATGATGATGATGATGATGATCTATGGTTACATTCATTCAACTTCAGTCAGTAACAATTGGTGGATTCTCATATTTACTGGGCATTTGTAGATATGATCATACACTCACACAACATTCACAGAAACATTTCCTCGTTTGATCAGTAGTGAGATTTGAAAAATAGAGGCTTCCCTGAGACTACACTGATACTACTCTCTGGAATTTGCATAGAAGCTGCAGGGAAATGCTCTGCTGTTACTGTTACCTTTTTGTAGAGGCTCAGGCTGGACAGTTAATGATTATGAGCTGCAGTTAGCAGGAAGGTTTATGCACCTGCAACAGGTCATCGCCGCTGAAGCTGATGTGTGCACCGCAGGTCCACTTCATTCAGGTTATCTGTCTGTTTCCAACCACTGCCTCTCACTGCGGTCGATAAAGTATACTAAATAAACTAACGGCGTTGTTGCAAGCCTAAAATAATGACATACAACACCAAATTACCAGCTATTACAAAGCACACGCGCGCATCTTTCCTACAGGCCTGTTAGTGTTAGACCAATGAAAGTCATATGAAACTTTAGTAAACGATGGTAGGCTGTCTTTTGATTCGGGATCTGCAATCATACCTATTTAAAGTAATCAGGAGCGTTTTCTTGGTCGTTTGTTGTTCCTACTTTGTTAACGACGACATCACAAGCGCTGTGAGCACTTTAATAATCATTTAAGGAGGGCGAAGTAACTGTATTTTCTCCTCTACGAGAGGATACGGATAGGAAGAGAAGATGGTCAACTGTACAAGTTGTGTGCTCAACTTTACCTCGGTCCGGGTAAACGCTGGGGTGCTCAGCCTTCTCTCGACCGGCTAGGACAACATGACTGTGGCTCTCCTCTTCACCACCGGCCCGAGGGTGAGATCCAGGCGTCAGCGATTGTAATAATCCAGTTTTTCTGACAGCTCTATCACCTCTCTGCGCCTGTCGGTGCTCGGGGCTGTGTGCACTGAGGCAGGCGGCTCATTGGCTCGCTGCCACCTATTTTTCTCAAGCGGCCGTAGTGTTGAAAGCTGGGAAATTATGTCCATGTGGTCCCATCCCTCTGAGAATCCAGGCTGTGTTACCACTCCCAGCGCGAAGTCCTGATTTAAATGGTGAAGAAAAACTATTTAACTAAATAAACTGTCAAACAGCACCACTTGTGGTTTTGAACACACGTGTATTTTATTTAATAGTGTTTAAGGAAGTCATTTTATTTACTTCAAACCATCACCATTTGCTGTTTTCGCAGGCCCTACTCATAGTTTGCTATTTTATTACTTTTTTAATTAAAAGTACACAACATATATTCACTTCGGGCAGGAAATAGTTACTTTTTCTTATACTGCAACCAGCTGACTGATCACGTGACTTTGCGGAAGTAAGAGTATCAACACCATGAACAGAATTTGAGCTGTGTCCTGCAAAGATGGTGCGATGTTTTGTCTTGTTTTTCATCGTTTGTTGTGTGAACGAAGTGTTTTGTACTCAGGATTCAGGCGGGGCTCAGTCAGAACCCCTAGCCGCTCAGGGAGCATCTAGCTGCGGCTGTGAGCACCTGAAGAGAGTCGCTGCTGTGGAGCCTGTGGAGGACAGCACGGTGTCTGCAGACCCAGCTCTCAAATACTCAAAAGGCGCCAATGAGAGGCTGCAGGAGGCTCAGGGAGATGACGAGAATATACTTAGTCAGGTAAGTCATCTCTTTTGTCCTTTGAGAAGAAATATAACAAAGTCCCCATTGAGACACTTGCTCAATAGACCACCACCTTGTTCTAAAACTTAACCAAAAGTGGTGCAGAAATGTAGACAGCCTTTCCGACCACATTAAAGATGTCTAATTCCATTTTAAAAAAGCATGATCTGAGTCCCTTGTATTTTACATTTACCACAATAGTATCTCCCAGTGCATAGTATTGTTGTAAAATGTTTATGGGAAAGACTGCATGTTGGTGGCATTGTAGTTGACATCAGTATGCAATATGTAACCTTTTAGCTGGTTCTGAGGAAGACAATGTGTTTTTTTGCTCAAGTGTGTCCCTCAACAAGCTTCACCAATGGGATTGTTAGTTTTGGCTTTGGTTAGATCCCTGTCTCACTGCCTCAGAGGCATGTGGGTTTCCTGTGAACCCTCATGATAGGCCCTGCACAATACACAGTCATTAAATATAGGTCACATCTGATGCCACTGTGTAGGATCAATTGGAAGAAAATCAGCATATAAACCATGTGCTTAAGCTGCATTTACTCTGCATTTGAATTGCACAAATATGTAAATAGCAGACTGACAATCTGATGTTGGGCTATTTACGAACGTTAACCAAATAATTGTATCCTCTCCTAAGGTTGGTTTTTGATATTTGATTCATTTACTTACAACATTTTATCTCTGAATGTGTTGCTTTTGATACCGTATCAAACTGTATTGTTTGCTTTTGTCTTTTTGAAGTGTATGGAAACATTGTAAAGCGTAGTGGTTTGCTCACAAATAGATATTTGCACTTAGAATAAACTAGGTTCCCAGCCATTTTAAAGTATCTCACACTATTATTTCTGAAGAGATTCATTTGTCTGTTAATGCATACAGATGGTGTTGATTTCTGGAGGAGAGTTCCTGATGGGGACGGACAACCCAGCCATCCCTGCAGATGGCGAGGGCCCTCAGAGGCCCGTGCACGTGGACTCCTTCTACATGGAGATCCAGGAAGTGACAAACCAACAGTTTCAGGGCTTTGTCAATGCCACAGGATTCATTACTGAGGTATTTGTCTATAGATTAACCCATAAGCTGTGTTTTGAATTAATAAAAAATGTGTTTAATAAATCAAACCAATCGTTATTGAAACAAATATTTGGCAGTGATGTTTCAGTGTTCTGATTTTAATCGGCATCGCCTTTGCTGATATTGTTTTTATCCTTGTGTTTTCAGGCAGAGAACTTCGGAGACTCATTTGTGTTCGAGGGGATTTTGAGCGAGAGTGTAAAAAACCAAATCACCCAAGCTGTAAGTGTAGTTATTCAACTCTTCTGTCCCGCTCATTTTGTTGTGCTACATCCAGATAAAGCACTGTTAGTGCCATGATTATTGGCTTCATCCTTTTGTAGCCCTGTGTAAAAACTCCTGACATGTACACCTTGATAATTGTTCTTCGTTGAAAAACACGTAATCATTTTAAAAGAATGGTAAATGTGGGGAGAAATATATATGACATGTTGTACACTTTTCATTGTCTTCCAGATGTATCGTAGTGTTATACCCTCTGTTCAGATGTAGCTTGCAGGGGGGTGACCTTATTTATTATTTGGAAGATCTTCATTGAACATGCTGCATGGGTTTAGCTTGGTCAAAGAAGAACACATTGCATTTTTAGTCCGATCCCAATCAAGGGGCTGATACTGTAGAACATTATTTTAACTTTAGGAAACGGCCTTGTCAGAGATCTTAGCTCTCCAAGTGCATTTCTAGTTATTACTGATATTTATTTAACGTTCCTTGCACCATGGTCGGTGTCATAAACAGATACAATGTAAACATATACTTCTCTTATTTAAGAGTCTTGGGAATCTTCACAGAGAGCCTGAGGCCACAGCCCTCCCACAGATGTAAACCAGATAGCAGAGTATTGACTGCTTCATCTCAGCTGTCATGTGGCAGGGAAAGTGCTGTGTACCCATTAGTGTGGCATAGTGGAAACCATTAGTACCATTGCAAATCTGTGGACACAAGCAAATTCCAAATGACATTTAAATGTAAGAGAAAATGGAATGAAGAGTAGAAAAATAATATCAGTCTGTAACCATTATATCTATATCACTCTGTTTTCAGGTGGCTGCTGCCCCCTGGTGGCTTCCAGTCAAAGGTGCCAACTGGAGGCACCCTAATGGTCCAGAATCCAACATCACAGACCGGTAGAAAGCTCTCTTTTTATCCCTGAAACCCAAATAGTCCTTGGATGAGCTTTCAGTCTAAGTGATAGGGGACAAAATCCACACTCTCCGTTCTCTTCCAAGCTTAGCTCAAGCAAGGACAAGGCTTAAGCAGTGATTGAGACATACAGTAAGAAGTGGGGTCATCTAAAGTTATGGCCTTTTTTTTGTAGAAAACCCCTGCTTTTTCATATTGTGACCCTATTCAATAGTGTTTTCAACCTCATTATAAAAGTCACTGATGGAGTCATATTTTGACAATGGATGCAATAATAGCAAACTCACATATTTCTAACCCCTTAAACAACCAGAAAAACAACATTTACTTCACATATATCCATCAAACTCTCTGGAGTGAACTGGCAGACAAAAACTACAAAACCAAGCCAATATAACACAAAACTTTTCCAAGTAGCTGATTGGCTCCTGACATGCTGTCCAATAAAAACTGAGGGGGCTGCTGTTTCTGAACTCTATTTGACCTGCAAGCCTTATCAACAGCCGTCCCTGAATAAGTTGTTTTAAAGAAACACGGGGGATTAGGAACTTGAAAAATACTTTATATATAATTGGAGGAAATCCATTTAATAATGTAACTCAGACTGTTGGAGCCTACTGTAAGCTTCACTTGAACTTCAAAATGCATTTTTTTTAAAGAGCACAAGGACTGTGGATTTTGTTTTCTACCACTTACACTGGATTCACAGTAAGAAAGGATTTCATTACAAGCGTTGTGGACAAGTAGGTTAAGTTCAAACAACCAGAAGTTATTTCACTCATTGTTTTAGACAGATTTGAAACATGAATGTGAACATTTTGAATATTTATGATCCAAAGCAACTTCTTTTATTTAATTATAATTGTTCTTTATTTTCAGCAAATATAACTCCGGTAATTAAATCTAAACCTGTGTTTGTGTAGACTGGACCATCCTGTTCTACATGTGTCCTGGGCCGATGCAGTCGCCTACTGCTCCTGGGCCAATAGGAGACTCCCTACAGAGGCAGAATGGGAGTACGCCTGCAGAGGGGGCCTTGAAGACAGGTACAATATTTACTCATTATATGACTAAAATTTGCCAATGTGCTGTGGTTTTCATACTGTCCCATGTCAATGTCTCGCATGTAGACTTTACCCCTGGGGAAACAAGTTGAACCCGAAAGGACAGCACTACGCCAACCTCTGGCAGGGGGACTTCCCCAACCATAACTCTGCAGAGGATGGATACATTCATACTTCACCGGTAAGACCAAAAAGGAAAGATAGAAAGAGGATGTAGTTATGGGTGTGTTAAAACTGCAACATATTTCAGGTATGAAAGAATCTAAGGGTCTCATAAGCAATTGTCACAAAACTGGAATAAGGTTGTTAATTGAGTCTCTGCCTTTAGAAGCTACAGGAAAGGAACGGTTTCCGGAAATAAGAGCTCATTTCTGAAGTTGATTGAGTCCTACAAGAAGATCAAATGCAAAAACCATCACATCATGTTAATCCAATCTCTTTTTCTATCATGAGAGGTTTGAAGCCCTGATTTAAAGATATCAAGCATGAAAAAATGAACTCAGATTTTTAAATGGTACAGTATACACTTCTGAAGGAACTGCATCTTTTCTGATCCCACTACCTGAAAAGAAGGGGCTTTCTTTTTCATTATGATACAAATGTAACATTCAAATAGCCACCTAATTTTAGCAGCTTGGCAATAGTAAAGAAGTAATGGATAAAAACAGATTGAATTACCTGAAATCTAGTTCAACACTAGATGATCTGTATGTCTGGATTAGTTCTAAATAATTTCATTCTGGTAAAACATACATACATGGACCTACAGTAGTACACATCCATAGGGCTTACATCAAATAAAGAGACTTTCACAACAATACAAGTTGAAATTCTTTAAAATGTGGCAATGCTCTCCCTGCAGGTGATGTCCTTTCCAGCCAATGGTT